AAAATTCGTCACTTTTTTTTTTTGCTGAAATCGTATAGTTTTGTCTTCACAGCTCTGGTTGCCTTACAAAAATTATCACTTATGAACACACTGCTTGATTTATGTTCTGGAAGACAATTTCCTGAAGAAAGAATCGTGAATTTTAGCCTACAAGGCGAAAATTGGGAAGTAATACGTCTGCACCTATGAAACGGCCAAGTCTGTTTGGTAAAGTCGTTCGTCGTTGCTATTTAGGTTGATACTTAAGGTTGCATTCAATATCAAGCAGAATTTTTTCTCTTACTGTGGCCAAATTTCACCAGCGCTATATATCATGCATTGAAGCGTTAGATTTTCTCGCCGTTAATGGTCTTCAGACTCTTTGAGACGCTCATTTGAAGCACTAGGCTTCCCCCCAGTTGCCCCCCCCCCTCCCGATGATCGAATGGTTTGCTTGACCACCAAAGGCCTGTTGTCGATATTGAGGACTTGTTGCTCCATTGAATTCTGAGTCTCTGTGATTTCACTCGGAGCAGACATCACCTCTGCATGCTTGGCATCAAATTTGTCGTGCAGTGACTTAACAAGCTTAAGCTATCCTTTGTTAGGATTGTCTACTGGGGACCAGGGTTTAGTTCCGCATTTTGGGGTATAAATAACAACTTAGTGATGAGTACGCATTCACACATTTATTGAGACAAAACTTGTGAGCGTTGAAGCACTAGAAGCCAATCATTATTTCACTTTTTTCAGTAACGTGGTGGTGCTGTACTTACCTGCACCCAGAAACGAAAATATGTTCCAAACAAGACGAATGCAGTGCCTTCATTTCCACTGATGTGGCGCAAACTAGTACGGCAGTCTTTTAATCCTTTTGAACATTCGTGGTGAATACACAATACGGGCGCCACTCCTAATGAATATGACAATGAAGCGTAAAGTATCGTCAACTTACCTGCTAAGGGTAGACAATAAAAAAAATAGTGCCTCTGTGAAATCGCCTGAAATAGCTCGTTTGGACGTTCATAAAAAACGGACGATTTGATATAACAATGCTTCTCTATATGTGTTGCGTAAAATTGCGCTGCATAGCTGTAACAAGGGGGGAATGCACGAAGGCACAGAACAACAACAAAAACAACAACAACAAAAACAACAACAACAACAACAACAACAACAACAACAACAACAACAACAGAAACTGCCTGCACGTGTGGGCGCAAGCTACCAACTATAGGCTTATTTCGTAAGGTACAACTTTGGGCCGCACAATTTCACCTTGGACCGCCCCACAAAAGAAAGAAAAGGAAACTACAGAAGGAGTGAAATTTCGAAGAAAAAACAAATGTAGAAAAACAGATTGGCCAAATAAAACAACAACCAAGAAACTATTGCGCATGTCTACGCTGCAAAGCGCTCGCACGTCTTTGCCGGAACGTGTCGCTTATGAGTGCTGTTTCTGGTTTGCTTAGCGACAAAGATGGAGTGCTTACGCATGCGCCGAATTCTTCAGATGCTAGGTTATAGGCCTGAACTATTTCTGTCTCCTGGTTCTTTTTTTTTTTACTGTTTGTGCGGCGGCTCGCAGTGGCACCACACGAAATATTCACAGTTGATATTTTGTGCCCTCCCTTCTTGGAAGAGTTTTTTTTTTTTTTCTGCGTCTTCATGTGTGTTTTCTGTCAAAGCTATGCAGTGCACTTTTCCACAACATAGATAAAGCTTGTAAAAACTAGCCCAAATAAGGGCTTTATGAAAATGTTTCTCGAATACTCTTTCAAAAATCTTTAGAATTGATTTTTCCCGTACTTATTTTTATTACTCCTATGCAAACTCAATTTTGCCATTTTACCAAGCAGTAATTAGAATATTTGGTACACTATACTGAATGCACGCCCACATAATACCACATAATTGTTACAGTTGTGGTTAAACGATGTTTATTTACAGAGCTAGGTTGATGTACAAGCAATGATGACATCGGTATGCTGTACATATTTGCTTCCCAAATTGCCTTAGCCGAAGAGTAAATTGAAGTGAAAAAAAAAGCACTACGCAATGAGAAAAAAAGGTGTTTCAGCTCGACTAACGCGAAACTTGTGGAGGGGCAAGGGATGCATTATGTTTCACACAGCAAAATTTTTGCCCTTTACTGCTTCACTCAACACCGTTCCACTTACGTGCAATGATGTTACAGATAAGTTTCAAGAAGTGGCGTATTGAATGGATGACTTTACCACATACCTAGAGTTGCACGTTTCTATCTGTGGATTTATGTAAGAAACATGACAACCTTGGAAAACTTTGTCGGTTATCATTACAGCACTGCTGAGGCTAACTAAATGTTCTAGGCAGTAAAAAAGACTATTTAGTTTGTATGCATATAGCATGCACCCTTGGTGAGTAGTGGCATTTACCCTATTCTTCTGGCTAATAACCGTTTATTATGAACGGTGATGACAACGACATGACACCCCGAGAAGCCGAAACACTAAAGTGCGTCGCCCGCCCCCCCTCTCACCCAAAAAAAGTTGAGAACACTCGTGAAATGTATGGTATGCAAGAGCACGACTAAGAAAGCGCTTGCGCTAACAATCACATTCAGCTTTGAAGTGCTCTCTGAGTACAAGTAGCAGGAAGAAAGCGGCATGGTACTCCAAGATATCGCCTGATAGGTAGGCGCTTCCTCTATTAGATCTAGTATCGGTACCGGTGGCGATATAATTACAATTTTATTTGCGCGTAAGTCAATCGCATGCAGTTCAAAAGTACATCTAGAAGATCCTTTAAATCATCGATGTGTGAAAGCCATGGGGCAGAGGAACCCCGTAGTTCAGACTTTTTAACGAAGTACCAAGCAGGAGAGAGGAATCAGGATATGCCGCAGGTGTTGAGGCACGTGAAGCACGTAAGTGGCTGAAGGTAAGTGTCATGGCACTGACAAACTCACAAAAAAAGAGAAGAAATCGCAGGAACGAAATGCACGTGGGCAAGCGGGCAAACGTCTACGTTGGCGCGCTTGTTTCTGTGGACACTGCGCAAGCGCGGTCATGTTCACGCGCTCCACGAAAACGGACGCGCACACCTTATCGCCTGTTTTCGCTGGTGTAGTCGGGCAGAATGACAAAATTATCACCACCCTTTCTTTTATTAGGTGGCTTAGCATCACCAGTACCAGTTTGAGAAGCAAAGTTTAGCCATCGAGTATCGCGATAGCAGATCTAGTATCTGTAGATACACGATGCATTGTTTAGTGTATCGGAAATACAAATACAGATATTTGCCTTTCCAGATATGTCACAATACGAATACAAGGTACCCAAAGACCATCTGAAATATTGTCCAAGTGTAATGTACTCGACACAACAGGCGTTCATTACGCCGGCTGTTCTATTCTGCTCCGTTCTCTTCTGCCTCGTACTAACAGAAGTCGCGCCAGTTCCCGAGGGCTGGTCTTGCTTATTTACAGTCAGTCACGCTGCGACATTCAAAGGCTAACTGCGAAATTGCGTTTGTCTTCTTTGGCGGGGTGTTGTCTTGCCAGGGGCCGATTTACAGGCTCCGTATTTTACTGCAATTCTGATTTGATTGATTGATATGTGGGGTTTAACGTCCCAAAACCACCATTTGATTATGAGAGACGCCGTAGTGGAGGGCTCCGGAAATTTTGACCACCTGGGGTTCTTTAACGTGCACCCAAATCTGAGTACACGGGCCTACAACATTTCCGCCTCCATCGGAAATGCAGCCGCCACAGCCGGGATTTGAACCCGCGACCTGCGGGTCAGCAGCCGAGTACCTTAGCCACTAGACCACCGTGGTGGGGGCAATTCTGATTTACTGGGGTGTCCTGCTCCGTTAGATGTTTGACAAATTATCAAAAATGATGCACGGATTCAAAGGACCAGGACAGCTAGGTGCCAAACAAGGGTAATTTGTGCGACCAGTTTACCAAGACGTCGCAGTTTGTCTTCGAATGCGCTGCTCCTGTACGCCACAGGAACACTAGCTGCAGGTTGTATAATATATGTTAGAGGCTGCCACCACACGTGTGACATCACGTCATTGGCGGGTACAATTCGAAATGTGGGCGGCCTGTGGGCTTTTTACTTTCGTGTTTTAACGCAAATTGAAGTCGCACTTTGCGCAGACGACCATCACCACTTGGCCCTCGCACTTAAGGGATCCTAATGTCCGAATGTGCTGAGCATGGTCTCCGTGGGAATGCAATCAAAATGGCTTGAAATAACCAACATGGTTTACTTTGAGCTTAGTTAATAAATAAAAAAATCTTCCACTAATTATTACCACATCAACTACTTAAGAATGAAAACAGCTTCACAGTCCGTACATTCAGCACTTGAAGGTGTGCAAGTATCACCGACTTTCATTGCCTGCAAATGTTTATGAGTACTTTTACATTTTATTAGCCTTAACAGCAACGTCAGCCTGAAAAATGGACTTTCTAGGCTTTACGCTTAAGAATGAGGGGTATGTTAACAAGCGAAAAAGAGTGGTTTTCACGTCAAGCACGTTGCTTTATAACACATACGAGCATGTGGCCGTCAAATGTTTGGAGCAAATCGCATCCTTGTTACTATCAAACTCTTTGTTCTTCGAATATCAAGCACACTCTGAACAATGTGTGTCTTGAATAAGAATTTCTGTGAGCAGATCTCCTAAAGTACCTTAACTAAACATATACAAATTTTCATTGTTGCTACCCCACTAGAGGCGTGCTGAAGGAATCGATTGTCGGCTTAGGGAACATGTTCACGTTTTTTTGTTGGGCGCACCTGTGCCTAAAATAGCTGTGTATGCTAATGTTTACAATGCTGTCTGCTTTCCTACCACCCTCAAGAATTGATACCTCTTAAACACTTGCAGGTGCTTCATCACTTTGAGCTATTAGAGTTTTGTATTTGTCCTAAATTGCGAATTTGTAAGTGAGGAGGGATTTTTTCAGATTGATTTAGCTTTTTTTTCAAAATTAAGGCTCTATTTACCGAAATTCACTGCAGGTTTGCATTCGCACTGAATGCCGCCGGCAGCCTTCAGTGACCGAGTCTGACCTTTGCAAAAGTGTCCACCCGAATCAGGCATCTCAGGCTTCAGTAAGTTACCGCACACACTATTATTATTGCACTCGCCAACTTTTCTCCTTGCTTCCTTTTTCAAACAGAACAATAGCTCGCTTGATAACTGGTTCATTTTGTTTTAAGCTGACAATCTTATAAGGGTGGTGATATACCGCATTAAAACAAGCAAGACGTTATTTATTGTGTAGTTTTTATAAACCATGTAACAAGCCCAAGAAAGCTTTTGATAGGTAGCGTTAACCTAAACGGGTATGTTCTCACTGACTTCCTAAATGATAATTTGCTTACCTTGCAAAGAGTTTAGGGACCACTGTATACCTTACGTAATTATTTTCCTAGTATATGTTGACACGTGTGTATATGAAAAAGAACGATGATACAAATGTTTTGTAGATTCCAGCTAGTGGGACAGGTGGTTTTCGGGACGACAACAAAGCAGGCGTCTTGCTGTACTGCTGATTCTGAACACACTCTTTTCGCTGCCGTAAGCTGCTGTCATCTTTTGTTCGCGTTGCACTGTTACACTGGTGGAGGAGCTGGGCCGCGACGCTGCCTGATGCTTCACACCCCTAGCGGGAGCCGTTCATCCAGCCCGGACGTGCCTATTGGAACCCCTGTCCATTGATTCAGTCGTCGGCTACGAGGTCATTCTCCAGAGTTCAACCCCTCACAGAAGCGCTCTACAAGACATCTAGAAATGGCTAACACCAGCCCCCAGCCTGTACGTCTCGGTACCAGTCCTCCCGATCCATCCCAGGTAACGTTTTTTTTTTAATCGCTGGAGCCTGAACGCTTTGGTGGTGGTGTTCACGAAGATGTAGAAGACTGGTTAGATCACTATGACCGTGTTGCGGAGATCAACCAGTGGTCTGCCGAGGAAAAACTCGGCCGGGCCTACTTCTATTTTGATGACAGCACTCGTACTTGGTACGAGAACAGAGAAGGCAGCCTGTCCACATGGACCGACTTTCACCAGCAGATGTTTGAAATTTTTGGCAATGTCGACAGACGTGACCGCGCCCACCATCTATTAGAGCTAAGGGTCCAAAAACCCAATGAAACGGTCACCATGTTCGCCGATGACATGGCACGTTTATTTTGGAGGGCTGACCCGCAGATGACCAAAGATAGGATGTTGCGCTACCTCATGCGTGGCGTGAAAGAGCAGCTGTTCACCGGACTTCTGCGCAACCCACCAAACACTGTAGAGAACTTCATCAAAGTAGCGTCGGCTATCGAGCGGGCACTTCACCAACGCTGCCGCCAATATGAACGCTTGTGCAGTAGCCCCCCAATTCAGGCCGCCGCTGGGACGTTCGATAATCATAGCTCCTTGCGTGACACGATTAGAGAGATTGTTCATGAAGAACTGCAAAGGTTGCGGACTCCGGTAGTGGATACACCCATGGCATCTGTCGCCCAAGTCGTCCATGAAGAAATCCGCCAAGCATTCTCGACAGCTGATCCTGCCCCCGAGCAACGACCCATGACGTACGCCGCCGCCCTTCGAAGCTCCCCACCCGCTCCGCCTTCATACTATACCCGCCACGTGCAACCGTGCCTTGGTCACCACCACAGGGGGAGACGTCGTGGCGCTCACCCATCCAGCCCCCAAACGATCAGTTGTCTTCTGGCCAGCCATGGCCTTCGTCACGTGAGGAGTCGTCACGGCATTCACAGCTTCACCGGACAGTCACCTGGCGCACTGTCGACAGGCGTCCACTCTGTTTCAATTGCGGAGGTGTGGGCCACATAGCCCGCTATTGCTGACACTGCGCCAATCCGTTTCGCCCTCTCAGGCCACGGTTTGACAGTCGACATGCCAACGACTACGTAACTCGCCGTGGAGATGTCGGTTCTCAAGGACCCCTGGTGACTCGACCCCCCTTCGACGGCCACAGTAACAGTGATGACGAGAATATAACTGATTACCGGCCAGGCTTCCGACATCGACCACGCTCTCCTTCTCCTGCCCAGTCACCTTCGTTGCAGCGCCGCACTTTTGCCGACACCACAGGAGCGAGGTCACCCAGCCCGCACCGGGGAAACTGAAAGTGGTGACCTCAGGGAGCAAGGTTTCAGGCTGTCAAGACAAAGAAAAAAAGCCTCCATTACTCCCACCTCAGGAAGCAGTAAAGCCGACAAGACGTAATACCGACGAATTTGTGACCCCAAGCCTTACCGTTCTTATGGATGGACAGCAAGTCAGAGCTGTAGTCGACACCGGGGCCTACTTCTCCATTATTAGTGATGACCTTGCCGTACGCCTCAAGAAAGTAAACACAGCGTGGACGGGACTTCACCTAAGGACGGCAGGCGGCCAATTACTGAAGCCTCTCGGAATGTGCACAGCAAGGCTCGACATCGGTGGCTCTATTAGAGGTTTTTAGTTTGACGTTTTTGTGGTCCGCTCCGCTCCGGGAGCACCCGCGAAGCCGCAGCGGAGCGGCGGCCGATTTTCCTCTTTTAGTTATTCGTTGCCGGCAGCGAAGCGGACCTTTCGCAGTTGCAGCGCCCTCTGGTCGTTTTCATCGTTGGTAAACAAAATAAAAAACTTTTTTTTTCACGTATACAAAGCAAAACAACAATGTATAAATGATCTTTTCATGAAGTATTTACAAATACACTTTCAATGTATTAACCGTCTATTTTTTGAGAAAGATCAAGCTTTGACTTGATAGTAGCCACTCAAAAGCCAGCAAGGTTTCGTTCCAGATCCATTGCAAGCATTCACTGTGTGTTGTTTGAGCTTTTTACGCGTGTGTGGTGGCGACGTTTTTATTTTTCACCGTTGAAACTGTGTTTGCATAACCATTTATGCCTCCGACAAGTGTGCTAGAGGACCCATTTTTGATGGGTTTCTTAAAGTAGTCCGAAATCGAGGACTTGTTGCGCCTTGAAGTCTTCCAATACACTCGGCAAGACCCGCTGTCGTTTTTTTTTTTTTTTTCGACGGCCCCATGCCGTTTGTCTTCCGCGGCACGGTTCTGGGGGCAAAATCGACCTCCCTCATGAGGTCCGATACATCTTGTAGCAGCTGCTCCCGCTCTCCATATTGTTCTTCGGTGCCGGACGTACAGAGCAATCAAGCACGTTACGCTGCGACTGTTTCATCTACAGCACTTGAACAGCGTTTACTAATGAAGTAAGCAAGCACTCACTTCCTCAGGTTCACTGTGCCCTGCTGTCGGAAATAGCCGATGAAGAGGTCCACTCGCTCTTTGATGCCGCGAATTGTGAGCTCGCGATTTACCGCTCTCATGACGTTTCGCAGCACGTCTTCCCACGCGGCGGGATTGCTGAAGGGGTCAGCACACACCACTTCTTTCAACAGGCACAAATCTTCATCGATGCGAAATCGTTTTCGCGGCTTGCGCTGGGCAGGTGACGGCCAAGCTGCAGCACTCGCGGAAAGCGTGCCATCTCCGGAGGCAGCCATCTTGAAATGAGCAAAGTTGCTGCACGCCCGAGAGAGGGCGCGCGCGTTGTCCCCCTTCCGCTTGCAAAAACGGCAGCGACGCACCGCGCTCCGCTTAGGCCGCTCGTAAGCGGACCGTATTCCCCGCTCCGGTAACCCGCTTAAGGCCTTAGCGGAGGGCGCATGCGCACTCGCGTTCCCGCTCCGCTTAGCTGCTAAGCGGAGCGTTAAAACGTCAAACTAAAAACCTCTATTTTCGTGGCGACGTTCGTCGTTCTCGCTTCATGCTGTAAAGACTTGATTATCGGAATGGAATTCTTGAGAGAACATGGCGCCATCATCAACGTCCCTGACAGTGTCATTATGTGTCGCAACAACAGCCCTGCTTTAGTCGATTGTTCAGAGCCGAGACATAACTCTTTACGTCTGACGGATGACGATGTGGTCGTCCCGCCACGACCGTGTGCACTTGTTTCGGTGGCAGGTGATGGGCCGTTTGACGGCGACGGTATTGCCGACTAAATAAGCTCGCTGATGTTTAGCCACGGTATTTCAGTTGCTCGAGGTCTTGTCACTGTTACTGTAGGGCGCACAAACTTGCTGCTCACTAACTTCAGTGCTGAGCGCTGACACCTCCCGAAGGGTACAGCCGTCGCTTACTTTGACAATACTGCAGAAACCCAAGGCAGTTTATCGGCACTAGACGAAGCACCTCAAGAAGAATCAGTACCTAATCTTGACGTTGGTACTACGTTGTCAAGGGACGAGCGAACGAGACTTCTTGAGCTGCACTCTGAATTCCAGGTCTGCTTTTCATCGACATCACGGTTGGTCGAACGCCGATAACAAAGCATCGAATAATTACCCACGACGCAGCAAGGCCTATACACCAGAATCTTTATCGTGTGGCGGCAAAGGAACGGGAAGCGATACAGCAACAAGTCGCTAAAATGCTTGAAGATGATGTGATTCAGTTATCACAGAGCCCATGGACATCACCTGTAGTTCTAGTTCAGAAAAAGGACGGTACCCTGCGTTTTTGTGTGGACTACAGGAAGCTGAATCAAGTGACTAAGAAAGATGTGTATCCGCTTTCAGGTATTGATGACTCCCTCGATAGGCTTCGAAACGCTCGCTACTTCTCTTCAATGGACCTCAGAAGCGGATATTGGCAGATCAAGGTAGACCCAAGAGATCGGGAAAAAAACCGCTTTTGTGACGCCGGATGGTTTATATGAATTTAAAGTTCTGCCCTTCGGTCTGTGCTCAGCGCCCGCTACTTTTCAAAGGCTCATGGACACTGTACTTTCAGGGTTAAAATGAAAGTCCTGTTTAGTTTATCTAGACGACGTCATAGTGTTTTCCCCAACTTTTGACGAGCATCTCAAAAGGCTAGAAGTTGTTTCACGCGCCATACGCTCCGCAGGCCTCACATTGAAATGAGAGTAATGCCACTTTTGTTTTGAAGAACTGCTGTTTCTTGGTCATGTCGTAAGCTGCACCAGCGTTCGGCCTGATCCCGAAAAACTTGCGGCCATGGCACAGTTCCCAGTACTGTCCGATAGAAAGCTGTCAGGCGCTTTCTGGGCCTATGCGC